TAGTATAAGATAAGGGGTTAAAACCTTCAAACTTAATAAGGTGAGGGGCTAAAAGTAGGTTTTTACCCAATTAGATTTGGGAAGTTCTGTCAATGTAGTTAACGGGGTTGCATAGGGGTAGATGAAAATGAAACAATTTTGAAAGTTAGTAGATGAGTTTGAAAGAAAACAAAGATTCTAGACTAAAATGAAAAAAGAATAATAGTTAATAGATGATTTCTTAAATTAAGCCCTTTTCATGATGATGAGCTAAAATGTGTTCCCCTTATACATTTGAATTAAAGACTTTAATATATGTCTAATCAATAGAATTTTTTTCTCGGCCTAAATTGTAAAATAAGTCAATTAAGACAAACAAAATCCTAAGTTCTTTTCCTTCATGTGGGTTTCATTTATTCTAAGGTTATGGTTGCCTTATTCAGAGATCAAATGTATCGCCCTAAGTTCTTTCCTTCATGTGGGTTTCATTTATTCTAAGGTTATGTTTGCCTTATTCAAAGATCAAATGTATCGCCCTGATACATTAATATTAAAGCCTTTAATATACGCTCCAATCAATAAAATTTTTTTCTCAATCTAAAGTGTAAAATAAGTTAGGTCAGATAAACACAGTCATAAGATCTTTCCCTTCATTTTGGTTTCGTTTATTCTAAGATTATTGTTGGATTGATTGGAAAATTTTCCAACTTTAGATTGAAAAAAGAATGGAAAAACTAGAAATTCGCCCCTGAACTTGTTTGGTAGTTTGAAATTTGTTCATGAACAGAAAAAGCATGTGCAGAAACAGCCCCTCAGTAAACCCATATTAGATGTATGACGTCACCCTCTGGTCTAAGTTTGCTGATATGGCAATTATTTAACATGTGGGCACTGACATCAGCAAACAAAGAGATGATGTCACTTATCAAAATGGGTTGATTTCCACAAGTAATAAAGTTGAGGGGCAGATTTTGCGCACGCTTTTATGTTTGGGCTAGATTTCAAATTACCTGGAAACATCAAGGGTATATATTTGTTTTTGTTGAAGTATGTTGTTCCCTTATAAGTGGGTGTGATGAAATAAAGTCCCACATGGTGAAATATATAGAGAAAATGTGACTTAAATATATGAAAAATCTGTAAAACTACTAGATTAATCTTATAGTTTTAAAATAGTATCAAAATATGTAATAGGTTACTGGATATGTTTTCCTGTTATGTTCAATGTCTCCCCAACAGTTTTCTTCTCAAAAATTCATTTTTCAAATGTATTTATTGAAAAAATAAGAAAAAAATTAGGATGTTCTGGTATCATAGCCATTAAATATATATAATACAATGTAAGTTCCAATCTTAATATATTTATTATATGACTATTATTAAATGTTTTGATATTTTCAATATCAACATATGTTAATTTCTGTTTTGCCATATTTATTTGTTTTGAATGTAAAAAAAAAAAAAAAGTCTCCAGACTCTCCTCGCTGATCAAACAGACAAAAGAATATGAAAGGAGAAAAATAAGAAAGAGCACTAGGAGAACGAGACGAGAACTCTGTGCCCTTGGGCTTGTAGTTGGGTTTGGACCCTTTTTTAACAACCAATCCCGAAGCCCTCGTCCTTAGAAGCAGCCCAAATATAGACTCCCCACCTTGGAAACACAAGTCCATGCTAAAATATGTTGCGGCTGGTGGTGCAAGGGCAAATAATTTCATTGGATTAAGGCTTAATTTGAGAGGGTTAATTTGTAATTGTAGTTATAAATTTTTTGGTCTTTTAATATTTTTAAAATATATATAATATATTTAATATTTATTATAATATATATTTTATATATTTTTAAAATAATAAAAAGACTTAAAAATTAAAATCTAAAAGACTAAAAGGTATTGTCAAATAAAGCCTATTTCCCTCATGTTTTAAGGTAGAGTTTTACTTGGTGTGTATTAACAAAACGGTTTGTGTGTATATGTGGGATTATTAAAGATTTAGATATCCACCACGTTTTCATCCCCTTAAAATTACACTTAATCTTAGAATAATAATTTTTTTATTTTATAAGAATACTATAATTATAATGTCACATGATATTGTAAATTTATAATATAATATATCATTATATAATTAACTCTTTTTATTTAAGGATTCGCCCGTAATATTGTATACATCTATTCTTTTAATACCATATCATATTTCATTTAATATTACGTATAATTGTAAACTTACAAATCATATATGGTATTATAATCATAGCATCACCATGTATTTTATCTTCATATTAAAGATTTGAAAAGAATTTCTAGTTTTACTTATATTATTTTTTAAAAAATAAATAAAAATAATGAAATTTAAATTACAATAGAATGAATGATTAACATCAAGAAATAATAATAAGATTAAAACAAAAAAAAAATATTTTTCAATTTGTACTTATATTATTTTTTAAAAAATAAATAAAAATAATGAAATTTAAATTACAATAGAATGAATGATTAACATCAAGAGATAATAATAAGATTAAAATAAGAAAAATATTTTTCAATTTGTTCTAAAATAAATCTTAAATAAAAAAACATCTATTATTTTGAGATGAAAGGAGCAATCACCCCTTGATATATACAATAAAATTACAGAGTAGTTACTAAGCAAATAAGCAACAACTCGCCAACCATCTTCGTAACTCAGTAATAAGGACTCAGTGGTGTGTAGCAATTAAGTCCTAACTTTAGACCCGACCACAAATATTAATCCCCATCCCCTAATATGTAATTGTAATGTAA